ATCCTTTAACACTGTTTGGGGAGAGGCAGCAATTTGCTGAAACTGGTTGGGCTGAGGGAAAGAAAACCGAACCAAAGAGCAGAGTGGTTCGTAAGCACAGAGAGAGGGAAAGAAGAAATACTCAGTGCATCACGGGAAACAGCCGAGGCCTATTTGTTACTCATCCGAGTAACTTCTTCAGTCTCAGCTGAGTGCAGGTTTCCCCAACCATATAAACTGCACATGTATGTGTTGTAAATGTACTGTTTATAAGGTTGAGGAAACCTGCAGTCAGCTGAGACTGAAGAAGCTACTCGGATGAGAGAGAAAACACGATCCAGATGAACAGAATGAACCTTTTGGGATCTCCAACAGGTGTTTTATGATTTTTCAGGGTTTTCAATTTATTCACATCTCTTCACTCCTGTCGGTTCATACAAGTAGCAATCAAATTCAAGTTTAGTACAAGAAATCTAAAATATCTGCTTACTTCTGCACTGTCCAAATACTTTTAAGCCTTAAAACTGGACAATGTATTACAACTGATTTCTCTACAGGAAAAGCAAAACTTTTTAAAACTTAAATCAAACTTAACATTTGAACATCAATCGCATCTTTATTGATCTAATAATCCACTGATGCTGCAGGGGCAAACATTACATAAACATGTGGCACAAACTGTACATTTCCTTATCTTAAGTTTCCTTAAATTAAATAAATCCCACAGAAAAATTCAATAGCTTTTAGTTTAAAGTGGTTTATGAGAAAGGACTCTGAGGTGAAAATAAGTCATTCACATGTTCCTCTAGAGTTAAAGCTGACACGAGGGCAAACACATCCACGCTATTGAGCTACTTTGATTAGTGCAAGCAACACAGATTATATGGAAGTCCATAAAAGGTAGTCTCTTTAGCAACAATGTGTTGAGACAGATCCACATATATCAGTTGTCATTAAAACTGGTTCAATTAATAAAATCAAATGTTCTCTCATCCTTACAGCTGACACACACAAAACACTTTACTGTTAAATGTTGACAGCTGGAGGTAAGGATGCAACTGATAAATGTTGGATTACAAGTTAAAATTATTTGGACAATAGTCAATTATTGACTTTTCTAAAATAGAAGAGGCCGTTTTAAAATCATTAAGCTTATCAAAAGATCTGTGATCATTTAGGCAGCACAGTAAATGCCTCATTAACATACCTTCATTATGCATTTACTGATTTCCAGATATTAGTGAGCAAAACTAATACGAGTATTTAGCCAATTAAATCACTTTACCCCCTTGTAAACTATGCTTAATACATTTTTTAAATGAATTAAAACATTATTAGAACCTAAAACAATGTAACGTTTCACTTCACAACCCTGACACTTCACAAGCTTGCGTGCTCTGCATTTAAGATCACACAAATGTGCAAGCAAGGCTAGAAAGCATATTCTTTAGCAGCAAACACTGAAACATTGTTCCATTACTGCACACCAGGTCAGACCTGAATGCATTGGAATTTTGCAGGACAAAACTCTCTGCGTTACAAACTAACTGGACTAAAGAAATAAGAAGGAGCCATGGTTGTTACAGTCCAAACCGCAGTCGACACTTCTTGTTCCACATGGTGCGGTCGCTGGTGGATCCAACAAACCTGCTGGCCGGTGTGGGCCGGGCGATGCTTGAAAAAGGTCTGGAGTTGATGCTCACATGAGGCATCTCCCTCTTCAGAGAGGGCAGCTGGCTATCTTGCACCAGCCCAAACACATCCAGCTGGCTCAGCACAGGGAACATTATACCCACGTCACTGCAATCACACCAGCTAAAGTATTAATCGTGATTTTCAGCTATTCAAATATGATTCTGTATTCTTTTTAGAAAACTATAAATTAAATTTAACAGATTTTCCCCGTTTAGGGCCCAAATAAAATCTAGACCAGCATTTAGTTTTCAGTATTCACTCATGCAAACAAGTCCCAAACATAGAGCTCGAGGTTAGAGCAGAGTTTTTGTATTAATAAAATCAAACTGTAAATGAACACCACACCTAGCACTAGTTACCAAACAGACTAGTGCTGTAATCATCATCCATTTACTTTACTAGTACCTTAGACAGTGTGTTTCCATCTGAATAATAATCACAAACAAACATCTATATACCTGTGGCAAAAAAAAATAAAAAATAAGCTAGAAGATCTGATCAGATGAGGCACACCAACTAGCAGTGACATGGATGGAGGTGGGACAAAAACTTACGTGAGAGCAGCAAGGTGAATGTGATAACAGCGGCTCAGGGACAGATGCAGCAGGTGCTTCAGTTGTTTGAGGACAGGTAAGCAGTCAGCTGTCAGCAGAGTGCTATCACTGCGACACAGAAACACAGGTTTTAAACTGCAGTCATCTGTGGCCACAGTAAAGACATTTTTCCATCCATGACTATTTAATTTGCAATAGCAAATAAAACGAGACAACTTAAAGAAAAACCCCACAATTAAATACCAAACATAGAACGATGACTAAACTTTTACCTCAAATCTAGAGTTTTAATCTGGGGGCATTTTTCCACCAGCACCTTCACATCTAAAAATGAGAAATAACACAGACACACGTCAGAATGATGCAACTCAAACAATCTTTAAGATATAGGTCTATATCTAGATCGATCTATCTATAGTTTTCACAAACTACGGTAATTTCACTTCAGCAGTATGCACCCTCAGTGTTACTCTTCAAGCTGTCAAGTGAATCAAATTACTCTATCATTATGCAGTTTGTTCTGTGTTACATCATTCAGGACGAACCAGCTGTGTTTGTTAGTGTTGAAATCAGTGACTTGAAGATCTCCACCACTCACCATTTAGGGTGAGGCTCTCTCTGTAACCGCTGAGGTTGAGATGTGTAACACTGGAACTCAGATTATCAACGACGCTCTTTATGTGATTATTATCAAAGGTGCACCATGATAAGTTCAGCTGTTGTATACTGAAACGCAAAATAATTGCATTAGTAAATCTGAGGCAGAGGAGAAACTGAAACTGTGGTTACAAAGTAAATAAGGACTGAGCAGCTGACCGGGAACAGGATTTAAGCATCCTAGCGAGCACAGGAGCAGAGAAGGCAGAGCAGCCGCTGAGGTTGAGCTCCTGTAGGCGGGTGTTCTTTGCCAGACAGCTGAGTAAAAAAGATTAACAAATACACCCAAACATGAGCTCCAAACACAGTACAGATTTAAGGCTCAAACAGATTCGGAAAATGCATTTACTGAGAGGAATTTAGTGTTTTGCCAGTTTACAATCGACAGTTACAGCACGACTTTTCCATCTCCGATGAGGCTCTACTACAAACAGCATCACTGACTTTTCAGACAAAGGCATGTTTCCCTCGGCATCTGAAGTCAGGAAAAGCTCAGACATATTTTTGATAAGAGAAAAGCAGCTCCAAAGACACTGGGAATCAGTGACATCCCTGCTGCACTAATCAGTAGCAAATGGTTCAGATCTCACCTGATGATGGTGTCAGAGAGCTGCAGACCCTCCAGGCTCAGACATTCTAGCAGTCTGCAGCGACAGATGATGTCTTCCAGAGCCAACGTTGGTATGATTGAGCTTGACAGATCCAGCTGAACCACCTGCAAGGAGCTGTATAATGGAAAAGAAAGAAAAGAGCATTTTTCTACTTAATAAGTGCCACAGAACTTAATACTTAGAGCTCTTTGGTGTGAAGGAAAATTAAATAGTTAGACATTAGATAGTTTTCATTAGATTTTCGCAGGCAAGGAAAACTCAGAGTAAGTCTTCCACTGAAGAAGAAAATCAGGACACACCACGATATATATGACTAACCCTCTGACTGTTAAGTGCAACTCTTCCACAAAGGAGCGGGGGCAGCGCAGTCTGCGGATGCCAGTCCTCAGCACCTGCTGCAGAGCCGGAGCCGTGTGGGTCATCCCCTCTAGATCCACACTGTGCCACAGAGACTCGTCAAACCTGTGATGAATGCACAAGCAAAGAGGTGTCATGGAGGCAAACCCCTACAGCAGCCTGCAGCAAATAACCTGCACACAGCAACCCGTTCTGTTAAATGTGAATGTGGGTTTCACGGTGCGTGTCATTGAGAATATCAAGCAGCACAAACTCGTTTGTCAACCAGTTTGTCAGAATTTAATACTTTCGAATGTGATGGTGTGCAAGTAGCTGTGACAGCTGTTTAATGGATGAACTAGGAGTGATCCTTTAATGAGGAATCCACAGGGCCACAGATTTCCATATTTTTGAATACTGTGATAAGTGTCACGCGTTTAAACACACAGATGTGAGAAAGAACCAGAGGCGTGGTTTGAAGTATGCAAACTCA